CTCTTTGTATTATGTGAAGATAAATTATTTTCAGTTAAAATCATTGTGCATTCTGCCCTGTCTTCCCCTGCTGTCTTCCTACAAAAAATCATTTCCAAATGAGCTGGAGAACTGGAAACAGGGGGATCCTTCTACTTTATAATCCTTTCCTGAGTACCTTAATGAACAATGATAATTGTTTTTACAGATATTTTTAAATGTTCCAAATAATGCAGACATAAAATAGGATTAAGGAATTGTAAATCATAAAAATCTCTGTTTTCTTTCTTTTTTCTCTCAGACTTTCTTTGGAGGCACAGGAGATTTCAAAATCACCACTGTTGTTTATATCCAGTGATTTTTAAAAAATACTGGAGTCAAAATCTCATCACACAGAATTCAAAATTCATTTCTTCAGGTTTATAATCGAGTCACAATTTCACTCTGGGCAATACTTTTTATGTAAGAGACAAATCATTTTTCCCCCGCTAAATTTGGTACTTTGAAATCTGGAAGAGGAGTAAGAGAGAGAGGACCAGGCAGCTCTCCGCAGTGTAACCTTAACTGTCTTCATTCCTCTACAAGTTGATAAGACTCAGAAAGGTCAGGGCATGGGATAAAAGAGAAAGAGGATCTGGTTCTCTTGTGACATGTAGAAGTCAGAAATCATGTGGCACTTTTCAAACAAAACAACAAAAGTTCCTGCAAAGGGAAATAGTCTGGTAATTCCACTACCTAAGCCTACATTTAGGTCACAAGTTAAGCTAGCATTTTATGAGGAATTAAGCATCAGTAGGTGCACCATGGAGTGGAGGACAAGGCATATTGGTAAGGCCAACTTCTTGACTGGTTTTTCTTGTTCTTTTTTTTTTTTTTTTGTCAAAAACATGAAGTCAAACTAGAACTCAGGTAATGACATGAAAGGATGTAGTAAGTGCTTTTCATCCCTACTTTTTCTTCGCTGTTCTCAAGTAAAAAGAAAAACCCACATACAGTAGAACTATCAGGTCAAGGCACACATCCATATACTCCAGAATCCCATGATACAGCCCACTGTTGCACTCAGCAAGTCAGATGTGTATTACACCGTGTGTTGAAGTCTTTGTGCTCTGCTTACAGTCCTTTTTATTGTTAACAACGTCCTAGCTACAGTCCATAAAGAAATGCCGAGCTTTGTTCATGCACAGCTTTTGTCAAAGGAAGACTGGCAGTGAGACAAGCCAAGACACGAGGCTCCACAAAATCAAACTGAAATATTATCCTGAAACAATGCTCTGGGACTCTTCTTGCCCTTTGGCAAGGTTTCTATATGCAAGTGGGAGACAATGCAGACTGAAGAGATCTATCCCTTTTACAAGTTTTACTAATTCTTATTAGGCTGGTTCATGAGTTCTCTGGGCCCCACAGCAGAAGATTTTAATCATATTGTGCCTTCTGTGCTACAGTGATCACAATGCTAATCTCTGTAATTCCACATTTGGGAGCCCACTTTTCAAAAGTGTAAACAACTGATGCTGCCTTTATAAAGAACATTTTTCCAGAGGGAATGCAATGGTAGAGTTATAGAGAAGCATCATAAGCCAAAAACTGGGGGAAAAAAAAAAATTGCACTATGAGTAATAAACCATTCTCAATTTTCTTCCCTTGTTCTGTAGAACGTGCTCAAATAAAATATATGTAAGTAATATTTTGTGAGGGAGCAAACTTTGACCCTTTCTACTTACAGGTATCAGACACTTTAAAGGAAAACAAAGAAGAAAGTGAATTTCTGCATCTGCAGGAATGGAAGAACAGGTTTCTTAAAAGCAAGAAACAAGAGCAGCAAGAGTGAAAATATGGACTCAGAGGGAAGAAAAGTCTAATAAAATATTTGTGTTTCTCCATGTCATAAAAACTGATGCCCTACCAGATTCCCTAACAACTCCTGAAACCACATTTTTTTTCTTCAGCTTTCCATTTTGAACACTATTTTGCTTAGCATCTCTGAAACGCTTCCACTATTCAGAGCTAATATTTCCCTCCTGTGAGTGAATTACATAAGGATGGCAGCAAAGACAACCTGCAGAACCAAATTCAACCATCCACATAAAGCCATTCTGGAAAATAAACCCATACCTTTAAAGAAAAAGACCTGTCCAATTCCTAAAGGTCTTCAAGCTTGATAAATGGCAAGAGCTCTGAGATGATAGTGCAGTCATGTTGTAATACTGTTTAATGGCATTTGCTGTCAACATTATTCATACAAGGATGCTATTGACTTGTAACTCCTTGAAAAGACAATCTTTTACAAAACCCATATTACTGAAATCCTTGAGTGTTTTACTATTACAGAGATTGCAGATGACTTCATAGGATCTATTAATGCTCCAAGTGACAGGATGCTACAGAAATTGACTAAATTTAGAGAAGAAAAAGAGAAAAGCAGATATATAATTGAGTTCCTGCAATAAGAAAATGCAGGCACTGTGCCAAATCTTACATTAACTATCCCAAATCTACTAAGATATTTCTTCCACTGCAATTAATTTACATTGCACTATTAATAATGGCGTAACTCGTGCACTCTTGATCTCAGGGTACAATACCATTAATGCTACAGTAGTCTAACATAAAAATTTACACACATTTTGAAAAATTATGAAATGCATATTTCAGAAAATTTACCAAGCAGTTGAAGCTGGGATAATGCACTTACTATGTTTGCAATGCTCCCACATTTCTTCTAATACGTAACACAGAGGGTCAGAGGACTTTAATCTATGAGGTCAGAATATTGCAAGATAATGACTTTTGTCCACACCAGAAAGTAACAGCATTAAAATAGATGCAGTAATCCTCTTTTTTGTATTACCCTATCGGCTTTTCGTAGTTTTATGTAAGAATTACTATATTTTTATTTGCATTTGCTCATCCCTTCCTCCAGTTAGAAATATGACATACTTTAACATTTCATAATCTATCCCATTTATTACAGAATAGTTAGAAGACCTCAGAAGTGGAAAAAGTCTGTATTTCAGTGACTGTATTATGATATGTTCTTTATAAATTTATACACAGGCCACAGGAGATTTATGAAGTGCAAGATTTCAAGATTATGGTACTGGAGACAATTTCTGGTACATCACAGAAAGCTGAGGACTTATGAGTTTTCTGACTGAGATTCTTTTTGCTGAAACTTATCAAGAAAATCTTTTGCAAACACCAGGAAAGCATTAGAAGGTTTGTGCAAAAATTTAGGGTTTAGCTACTCTAGACTTCACAAATTCTCAGGCAGCTGTTATGACCTGTAGTCGTAACAACTTTAGACAGGAGATGTGATCTAATCCTCACTGGACTTCCTCTGCATTTAGCATGCATTATTTCCCTGCTCTTCCAGAAGATTATGCAAGATTGGGTTTAGCTCTTTTTCACTTCCACCACTTACAAAATTTCTCAAACCCTCTAACCTCAGCATCCCAGAGACTTCCAGGTCACTCTGGAAAGCACATGGAGGATGGAGAAGGCAGGATTGTGGAAAATGCTATTACTTCTCCTATTTTTTCCCCCAGTCACCCTCGTCTTCCACCCAGTTGTCCTGGGTTAAACCGCAACACAAGCCTACTCAGTCTTCATGTCTAAATACAAAATGGCTATAGATTGCTTGTATCTTTCCTATGATACTTTGTTCCCTCAGCATGTTTGCCACAACTTTGAGACCCATTAGGCAGATTGGTGCAATTACTACTAAATTTAAAACAAAATTAAAAAAAAGTGAATAAACACAAGTCTACATTTAGAACTAGAAGCTAAAGAACATGCCACAAGAGCTTCACCCATACAAATATTTGCATGTGTTGTGATGGCTGTTGCCAGGAAAAGGAGTGAAGGCTGAAGGAAAGAAGAGAAAAAAGTTTAATAAAGTTGAATCTTCTGCATATTTTTAGTAGGACATGTTCCAAGATGCTGCTCTTTTCTTTAAGGTAATGGCAAAGGATACTGCTGCCCAGGGACCAGATATGGTCTTCAACTTCAGTTTAATGGCTTACTGGATGGATTTTTTTTTTCCATATTACTATTGCACAGCATTAAGAGGATTACGAATGTGTGATTCATCAAAGGGATTTTACTGCTCCCCTCAGTACTCAACCAGGAAAAGATTTCCCATTTGGTCTTCAAGTGTTTTGAAAGTTTTGACAAATCATGCAAAGCGCACAACCTTAATTCCTTATGACTAATCAAAAGTAAACTACATCCACTTTAATTCTGTATGAGAGCCTCTGTTCAGGGATTTACTGATCCCCCCTTTTTTTTCCTTTTCCCATTTAACACCTTTAGTTAATTAATCTGAACATTTAAGAGAATTGCTTTTTAGACATCACCTCTACACTCATTCTTATTATTCATCATTAAATCATTTCATTACTGCCCCAAGAGTATTCAAACTTCACAATACCACACCCCCGTCAAGGTCTTTTGGAACATTCACTTTGGAATATCTGCGGTGAACCTTAAACCAGTCAGAGAACTGTCACTGTAGTAGCAGTAGTATTTAAGGAAACTTTTAAATGTGGCCTAGAATTACAGGGAGAAGCTGATCCTTAGGATAACTCTGCAAACTGCAGTAGAATTGCATTACAGTAGAGTTAGGAGTCCACAGATTAAGAACAGAAATGATTAAAATGTCATCATCCAAAACCAGGAAGAAATGTTTTCTTGGATGCCTTATTCATAGGCAGGTAAACATGTACTGGCTTCTATACAAATGCAACCTTCACCCAGATGTGCTGGTTTTCCTAGAACACTGTATTTCCAAAACACAAAATCAGTATCTATATGGATATTCATCTAGCGGCTCTGACTGGATCTTCAGGAGACCTAAAAAGCTTGGTGAAGACCTCCTGCTGCTTTCGTGAGGCTGTGGCCTTTATAATTTCATTATGATTTGTTGTTTTCCTATCATCAATATTTCCAAATTTGATAGAGGGGAAATGGAACATACACCTCAGAACAGTTTGCACTATCGGTAACACTCAGCTGCTTACCTGTTTAACAGTGTAAAGGAGGCGACCATAGCAGTACATCATGACCATCACAGGGATGACCAAGCAGAATATGAAGAGACAGATGATATAGGATGTGGACTTTGCTGACTCCGAGGACCAGCGCACTGAACAGCTTGTACCTGCACCTTCTACCCCGTAACTGCTCCAACCAATCAGAGGGGGCACAGTCCAGACCAGGGAGTAAATCCATGAACCACCAACTGCCAGCAATGCCTTCTGGTAGTCAGCGCTGCGCTTGTTGCACAGGGTGAGTGTGCTGTAGCGTTCGTAGGACAGGACAGCCAGGGAGATCAGGGACACAATGCCTGCAATGAATCAAGCAATTTAAATGCTTACTTTCATTATTCATTATTTCATGTGGCATCCATCTTAAACCCTAAGAAATTAGATGCTTTTCTGGTTATTACGTATTTGAAGCAACAGTAAAAACTATTTACATTATTCTGTATGCTTAAATCCTCGCAGGATTTGGTTGCTCTATCCCTTGTGTCAAATTCTGTGTAACTTGCATTTATCTTATATTGGAAGATTTTTGTACTTCAGACTTTTAAAAGCAGCTTCTCAGATTTAGCTGGTTTTCTATTATCCAAGGGAAATCCATTTTCACATGAACTAATAAAACGTTGAAAGATTCCCTTGCTAAGAAATATTCAATTTTTAACATCCATGAGCATTTTCAAATATTGCATTGACTTTTATACATGCAAAAAGCTTTCAATTCAAGATTGGGAATCCCAAAATGAAAGCAAGTTTTGCACATATGCCCCATCAGCTGGATATATCTTTAGTTCTCACCACTCAGATATGGAAACAACAAACAACCCTTGGCATGACTGTGATACAGCAGGTCATAACTTTATTTACATGTGCACCATATAATCAAGTTTAAAAGTGATTTAAGTTAAAATTGAGCCCTAGCTGCCAGACCAGTTATATCTTACAATCGAAGATTCAAAAATCTGGTTAGTAGGACATTTCTACTCTCTCTTCCAAGATTTGAGGTCCTGACTCCCTCTACTAATCTTCCAACAAATCTGTTAACAGAAAAGATGATCTTCAGAGGAATTCATAGCTGTACTCCATTTTTTCCCCATTTAACTGTCAGCTTTTCTTGTAGCTCCTTCCTAGGCATAGAATAGAGGTGATAGCGCTAGGCTATCCTGTACCCAGGCAAAACACCCCACACAAAGGGCACAGGAGAGGATTCTCCCCAGGCACAGCGTTTTACTTCTCTCCCCTAAAATTCAGTGACTCCTTTCCTATTAGCTGGATGCAGGCACATTCCTGCCATCTTGACAGCAATTTGCAGTTACTCTGTGCAGAGCTGGTTATGGCAGAGGACCCAGGGGGAATGAAAGTACTGCTTGCTGCAATAGGATGCCTTATTTCTCAGGGGAAGAGAAGGCAAAAGGTGTGAGGAGAAGGCAGGTCCTGATGAAGAAAACATCTTTCTTGTTATAAAAGCCCACTGTATATTACAGGGAAGTCAGACTTTTAAAAGTAGATACACTTAGAGCTGTAAAATGACACAGGTCCACTAAATGCAACTGAGTTACACATTTTAAGAGTGTAACTTAAAAGCTTTTTTAAAGCTAGACTATTTTAGAGGCAGAATAGACTTTCTGATTATCCCTCATCTAGTCTGATTTCCTACATTACATAGTTTTGAAAGCCCATTTCCATAATTCCTGCATTAAACACATATGTCAATATAGAAAAAAAAATAAAAATAAAATAAAATAGCAGGTTCTGAAATACAGACTCGGGAACAAAGAATCTACCATTCTCTTCTTGCTTCCAGTTTATCTTCACTTTCTGAGCATTGCCACTTCCCGTGCTTTTACCTGCTCAACTAAAGAGCTTCTCACCATCAAAAGCTTTTAGCTCATGTAGGTACCTAAGGCAAATTTCCAGATTTTATATTGAAACTTAGGCCTCAGTTTTTCTGCATTTTAGATGAGACTGTCATGCACTAATAGAAATCAATCCTGGCAACAAGAAATCTCTCCCCTCCCAGCTGAATGCTCTATAGCAACCCTGTATTATTCTTGCTCTACCTCTGATGGCAACAGAGGGCATTATGTCCCTATTTTGAGGAGATGGCATGTGAGATGTACCTTCAGGCTGAGAATATCCTTCAGTCCTGCAGGTACAGTGTTGCCTAGAAAACCCAAATAGGGTGGTCAAACTTCTCTAGCTCAGGGCCCTGCTTCCTGGGTGGCTGCTTGAGCCATTGGGCTCCCAGGTCAAGTCTGAGCAACGCCTGCTCAACCCTGCAGCTGTGCTGCTGTGCAGCAGCTTCTTATGATGTGTATGATCACAATTTATAGCATTGTTTACACTTCCTCGTATTTTTGCCTGTTGGCCAATAGAAAAAAGACACTCATCTTTTCTCACACTGGTATTTATGATGGACAGCTTTATGAAGTAGATCTGAAGATAACTACCCATGAATGCAAGATTGTTTGCTTTGAGACAAAGAAAAAGCCTCTTTAACTGACATAAAATTAATACTTAGTTATTAAATTAGGACCATGCTGATGCCAGTAAAGAATAAATCAAATATTAGCAGACAAAACCACAAAAGTTGCCTTTAGATTATAGCAAATCATTTTTCTTCTCTATGCAGAAGAAAAAGGAGACTCTTAATTACACATCTTGGCTGGAGCCTTTTCATCTTTATTCACCTTTTACTGTTGAGTTCCACTGAAATGATGTAAACTACATTTTTCTCTGGAGGACAATAACTGTGACATATGGAATCCCAGGCCACAAAAGTTTAGGGAAAAAAAAAAACATTTTTCTTTTTGTCATAGTAAGACTTCAAGATCTGTGCTATACTTGAATTTTTTAATAAGCACTGAAATTAACACCACTGTGCTTTGAGTTCTAATGATTTCAAGACAACATGGGGAAAAGAAAGCACTGAGAAGGCAGCCTATAAGAGATATTAGAATAATTCAATTTTCTTCATGTACTTAAAGTTTATTAATCCCAGCTAACTTTTAAGAAAAATTACAATATTTTGAAAGAATGAAACCAGTACTTTGAAAGACAAAAAAAGGCTGCAGTGAAGAGCCAAAACCAAAACAAAAATTAAACAAGTAGCTTCTTCCCCACAGTGAGATACATTCCATTGCATTGGCTGCAAGTAATAAAAACACCTATTACCCAGGGAGGAAGAACCTAAACAACAGGGGCCATGACAACCCTCTCTGTCTGCTTTGTGTGATTTTGTGCAGTGTACACAAACTTGGGACCCTCTGCACCCCAACACTGCAGTTCTACCCAACCAAGGGTCTTTCATCTTAACACAGAAATCAGGAATAGACAAAACCAAAACAGAATGTCCATCAAGAAACAACTCTGTTCCAATACCATGGTAGGTTATCAGCTCCAATGTCACCATTTGCTAAGAATACCCTTAGCTTTTTAATTTTAAAAAGTGGGGTTTTGGTTTTTGGGTTTTTTAAAGCTCACTCTCATTTGATGCATTGCAGCAGATACATAGGCCTAATTTGCTGGACTGAAACAAGATTATTTCCTAACAAAGGCAAAACCTGGTTTTGTATTCAGTATTTAGTTTGACACTGGATGAAAGTTAAAAACAGGGATCAGGTGTGCAAGTTAGTGAATGAGCTGCCAACAAAAACCTGATTATTGCCTTGTCCTCTACATGCTTTTCAATAGCACTCAGTATGATCTTCATAATTTTTCCAGGTACTGAAAATTTTTCCACACTTTCAGTCTTCCCTTTCACCCTTCTTGTAATCCAGTTTAGATAAAGTAGAATACAGCTTCTCACTTTTCATTGTGCCTACTATTTCTGCATATCAGACTTGTGTCATATGCATTTAACTGTTGTGGTCTTTGTCAGAAATCCTGCAGTTATCTGTATTCTATTTTATACCCTATCTATTGCAGTCATAAGAATTTGTGAGAATCTCAGCTTTAAAATAAAAAGCAATTAAAAACTTTAGACTTATGGCAGAGGAAAAGATTTGAATGTGATCTCCATAGTCTTAACCAGAAAATAATTTAAAAATTATTTAAGTTATAAAAAGGAAAAAGCTAATTATAATTTCAAGCTAAGCACAATGCTTTATGCAAGCATTTCAGTCTTATTTTTGCAATAGCATTTATGACTGGCTTGACTGTGTATATGGATTTGAAATGAGTAATGCTTTTCTAAAATTGAAACAAAATTAAGTTCAGGAATTGAAAATCTAAACAGAATTTGCCTCCAACAAATATTTAGGGTCTTGAGCTGGTACCTAGCCAAGTAACTCCACAGGAGTCAATCACAGTGAGAAATGTAATTTGTTCTTCCAACATTTCATGCAAATACAGGAACAAAGCTGAGGTTCTCACTAAGCAGTACTGGAAAATGACATAAAAATCCACTGCAGATTGAATTACAGAAACAAATAATTATTAAAAAATTAACCATGGAAATAAGTGACTTTGAGACAAGCTGGATGTGAGGCAAAAGCCTTTCCTGCACAGCAATTAGTTGCAGTGCAAGAAACTCAATTTCAAGTTGTAAACCAGGATAGGCATGCATTTATAGGACTATCATCTGAGTCGTTACCTACTATTTACTTTCATTTAAAGATCTTCCTGGCAGCACAGCAGAAAATATGCTGTGAAGGACACAGCAAATCATTATGCTTTGTCCCCGTGAATCCCAGCTAAGAGCACAACATTTCGTATTAGTTTTTGCTGGTTTACACTGCATACTGATGCAGTAACTGGAAATAGGATGCAGCTTGCCAATCATCTGTAGGTTATCATAAACTGAGTCCCAGAGATTCTGTCTACACTGGATGTTTCGACTATGAATTTAAGTGTATTTGCCCTGTTAAATCTCCTGAAGGTCATTATCCTACATCATGATTAGAGTCCTGGAGCATCACACTTGCATGACATAATGATATCCTGCACTGCATTCTGGTTCCCAAAGATGAAGGGCAATGAAAAGAAGCCAGCGGTAAGCTTAGGCACACTGAGCTTGGAGGAATGCAATGGCATTCCTTCTTCCACATGACATTAAAGCAGGAAAACTAAATCAAATTGCTCAGAAAAGGCCAACATGATTTTATTGCACGCAATCCCCATCCAGGCTGATTTTACCCACTCACAGTAAGTCATTCACTCACACTCTCACACCCACAAACACGAAGGTCTGTATTTTACAGGTCTGTCCAGGACCTCTTGTGCAACAGGGAGAAGAAGGGATTCTGGCTATCAGTTCATCAAACCTCTTGCTTACAGGTACCTCCCTGGCAACAAACTGAGGTTTTCA